GAAATCTCACACTCCCCCTAGCTACAAAAAAGGGAAATAGTGATCACGCAACCAACTTGGCATTTATTTGACTCCGTTCAAATGGGTCCACGTGTTTTCTCAGCAACGCTCACAACAGCCCTGGGAGGTAGGCCAGCTTTACGGCCTCCGTACTGCAGAGGGAGAAGGTGGTGAGGCGTAGAGAAGACTTGCTAGCCCGATATCGCCTCGTTAGACCTCTAAGCTGAGTTAGTGTGAGCCAGCTCACAGTTTCTTAGCCTCTAGCTCACACATTTCTGTCTTAGCTCAGGAACGATGGCTCCAGAGCAAACTAGTTTATGCAGCGTCCAAATTGCTCGCTCACAAATGTTAACGCCAGTATCTCACAAAGTAGAATTTTTGCTCACAAGACTCCACAGCTTAGAGGGAACATTGGCCATGGCAGGGTTGAGATTTGAACTCGGGCCCTCCCAGTTCCTCTACTCAGCCTCTTCCCTACGGCTGCTGAAACACATTGGATGCCAAGGATTCGAAATGAAAGATTCGTCCTGCTAATTGTGGTGTAGGGGATCAGGAATCAAGAGGATTCTCTTAACCTGAATGTTTTACTTCGTACGGGTTAGGGATGCCCTTGGCAGCACCTGTTTCAGATGAGTCAAGGTGCAAAGGATAACATTTGGCAGGTGAAGAAGAGTCCATTTTGGCAGGTTAAGAATCAAGAGGGTTGTAGCTTTTTCAAGGAATCCCTCCAAGTCAAAGCCTCAAAAATAAATGTTTCCCAAGTATTGGGACTGTGCCTCAGTGGTAGAGCCTCTGTTTAGCATGCAGAAGGTCCCAGGTTCAATCCCCAGGAACATCTCCAGTTAAAAAGGACCAGGCAGGAGGTGATGGGAAAGACCTCTGCCTGAGACCCTGGAGAGCTGTCAAGAGGGGCCGTGGCTCAGTGGCAGAGCCTATGCTTGGCATGCAGAAGGTCCCAGGTTCAGTCCCCTGTAGCATCTGCAGTTAGAAAGGATCAGGCAGGAGGTGATGGGAAAGACCTCAGTCTGAGACCATGGACAGCTGCAAAGAGAGGCCGTGGCTTGGCGGCAGAACCTCTGCTTGGTATGGAGAAGGTCCCAGGTTCAATCCCTGGCATCGCCAGTTAAAAAGGACCAGGCAGGAGGTGATGGGAAAGGCCTCAGTCTGAGACCATGGACAGCTGCAAAGAGAGGCCGTGGCTTGGCGGCAGAACCTCTGCTTGGTATGGAGAAGGTCCCAGGTTCAATCCCTGGCATCGCCAGTTAAAAAGGACCAGGCAGGAGGTGATGGGAAAGGCCTCAGTCTGAGACCATGGACAGCTGCAAAGAGAGGCCGTGGCTTGGCGGCAGAACCTCTGCTTGGTATGGAGAAGGTCCCAGGTTCAATCCCTGGCATCGCCAGTTAAAAAGGACCAGGCAGGAGGTGATGGGAAAGGCCTCAGTCTGAGACCATGGACAGCTGCAAAGAGAGGCCGTGGCTTGGCGGCAGAACCTCTGCTTGGTATGGAGAAGGTCCCAGGTTCAATCCCTGGCATCGCCAGTTAAAAAGGACCAGGCAGGAGGTGATGGGAAAGGCCTCAGTCTGAGACCATGGACAGCTGCAAAGAGAGGCCGTGGCTTGGCGGCAGAACCTCTGCTTGGTATGGAGAAGGTCCCAGGTTCAATCCCCAGCAGCATCTCCAGTTAAAAAGCCTCGGGCAGGAGGTGAAGGGAAAGACCTCCCCCTGAGACCCTGGAGAGCTGTCAAGAGGGGCTGTGGCTCAGTGGCAGAGCCTCTGCTTGGCAGGCAGAAGGTTCCAGGTTCAATCCCTGGCATCGCCAGTTAAAAAGGACCAGGCAGGAGGTGAAGGGAAAGACCTCCGCCTGAGACCCTGGAGAGCTGTCAAGAGGGGCCGTGGCTCAGTGGAAGAGCCTCTGCTTGGCAGGCAGAAGGTCCCAGGTTCAATCCCTGGCAGCAGCATCCAGGGAAATGCTGATCACCACTTTGGGGTCAGGAAGCCATTTTTCTCCAGGCCAATTTGGCTGGAGATCCTGGAGGTTTTTTGTCATCTTCTGGACATGGAGCAGGGGTCACTTGGGGGTGTGGAGGGGGAGGTATTTGTGAATTTCCTGCATTGGCCTGGGGGTTGGACTAGATGACCCTGGAGGTCCCTTCGAACTCTATGATTCTATGATAGTCTGATACAGTGTAAGGCAGTTTCAAATATCAAACAGTTGTAGGGTCACATTTCAACTTGAGCCATCCACAGAGACCTGGACCATGGCCTGGTCTTGCAGGCACCGTCATGGTGCTGAAGAATAGAGGGCTATTTAATTCCTATCTAGTCACAATAATACAGAAAACATCCCTACGTCTATTCGTATTTTTTGCTCAATTCGGGAGCATTAGGCCTTGGGAGACTGTAGGGAAACTCGGAGAAAGCACAGGCCCAACGAGTTGTTGGAGCTGAGACTCGCACTCATGCTTGAAGGAGGATCAAACCAGGTTGGGACCCAGGTCGAGATCCGGGATCTGCTGGGCAGGCCTACCAGCTTGTGGAGAATCTGTGGCTGGTTGTTTTGCACAGCTCTAGCGAACTCAGGTTTTGGACGGCTTTTGTCCTTTTTTTCCTGGACAGCAATGTGAAGCCAAAAGGTCAGATATGAAAGAGGGGAGAGTTGAGATGACAGGCAGGTCTGCCAACCTCCAGTATTCACCCCCTTTGTCTTTTTTCGGCAGAGCTGCTAAACCCCTGAATCTTTCCAGTTGCAACCAAACCACCAAAGATATCCTGTATCCAAAAGCCAAGCGGGCTTTCTCAGACCGACACAACACTCCTCAGTACTATGAACTCATCAAGCCATACCTGGGTAAGCAGATGTGTCGCCTGGAAAAATAAAGCTCTTCTCCAAATAGAATATAACAGTTGTTTGGAAACCGAGCCAGAATCAGACCTCGAAGAACTCTTTTTCCTTGCATCTTAATTGCGGGGTTCTGTGAGCAATATGTAGCTCAAAAAAACCCAGGTCATTGTTCTTCATGTTGCATGGGAGCCAGGCATCTTTCAGGCTTTTCACATTTTCATTTTGCTCGCTTGTAAATTCCTGTTTCTTTGCTGTGTATTTTTCTGTTCTGCACATTGCTCCCTCTAGTGGTCGATTCGATATTACACCAGTTCATGTCCGACATAAAAACCTGCAGTTTAAATCTGCAGAGAGATATGCCAGACAGAATCGGGATGCTCAGTGTGTATAACTGATTTGTACAGAAAACGCCAAGACCAATTATTCAATAACTCTAAGAACTACCTATATATCATAAAATACAATTTTAATGTTAACCAAGTCTCTAAGTCTTTTGTAATACAGCCTCTTTATATTCAATAACATAACCAATGACAGAAAAACTTCATGAGCCAAACAATCAGCTTAGAAATAAAAAATTGTGCTCACAGGCACTAATCAATTAAGTAGGTCCCCGGCAACGCTCTCGTGCACCCACTTTAACTGTGTGCAAATTGATTAGTGCCTGTGAGCTCACCTTGTTGAAGTGACCATGTGCACCCACTTAAATTGCATATCAATTGATTAATGCCTGTGAGCACAATTTGTGATTTCTAAGCTGCGTGTTCGGCTTGCAAAGTTTTTCTGTCATCGATTATGTTATTGGATCTCTAGAGACTGTATTACAAATGACTTAGAGACTTGGTTAACTTTAAAACTGAATTTTATGATATACAGGTAGTTTTTTTGAGTTACTGAACAATTGGTCTCGGAGTTTTTATGTACTTATCAGCCGGTTTATGTCTGGCATAAAAACCCGAAGTTTAAATCTGCAGCCAGATATGCCGGGCATAAACTGGTATCATATCGAATCGACCACTAGAGGGAGCAAAACACATGAACACACATGCGAAACAGGAAACAAACCTGAAGAAACAGGAACTTACCAGAGAGGGAAGTGAGAAAGTGGAAAAGCCCTTCCCTTAAGGTACAATTGCTGGAGGGCTTTTGCTCCAATTCCTTCCAAATGCTTTTGCTGCAATTCGTTCACACAGCCAGGGCTCTTTTTGTAGAAAAAGCCCAGCAGGAACTCATTAGCATAATAGGCCACACCCAACAGCAAGAACTCATTAGCATATTAGGCCACACCCCTGACAGCACCGCTCATTAGCCCATTAGGCCACACCACCATGTTACCAGAAGTGTGGTCATCCAGCCACACCCACCTTTCCCTTCTTATTCTGTTTACCTTGTTTGTTGTCAAAACCCAGGGCCTTTTTTAACTCCTTCGCAAGTTAGGCCACACACCCCTAATGTAGCCAATCCTAATGAGTTCCTGCTGTTGGGTGTGGCCTATTATCAGCCCCATAGCTAAGGACTTTTTAGGGAGGGGGCCTAGAGGGCCCCACCTAATCCAATAAAAGGCTCCAGGGCAAGGGCTGCAGCGGTCGCAGCTTCTCTCCCCCTCCCCTCCCACAAGGGCAAGCCTTCCCTGTGGAGCGTCCAAGTCCAGCTCCCTCCCTCACCAAGGAGCCCCAGTGCCTCTTCCCGCGGCACAGCACCAGGGGAAATCACTGCCCTTGCCCTCCCTTGCCAACAGGCTGACAGGCAATCAGAGGGAGTTGGGGTAGGGGAGCCAAGGCTCAGGAAGGGGGCCCATAAAAACTGCTGGGGGGCCAGGCCCCGTGGGCCCCGTGTTAGCTACGGGCCTGCCTATTATGCTAATGAGCTCCTGCTGAGCGTGGCCAACTTGGGAGCCAGCCGGAACTCCGCTCCTGTGCGTTCCTGCCCCAAAATAGCCCTGCGAAGAATCATTTTTTGCATTTGCCACATGGATGAAGTCCCCAAAGAGAAACTCTGACAAGACTGTGTCTCTCCATGTGTAAAGACTTGAAATTAAAGGAGGGGTTTTGAAATTAAGAGGATGCATGAGACCGTTTTCCATCTGGAAGGCTGATAAAGGGTAACACTCACATATTCATCTCTCTCCTTCCTTCCAGGAGGGGCTCCCCCAGAGGATCTGAGAGCCCTCGTCAAAGATAATGTCAACATGGACATCGACACATTCAAGAAGCTGAGGAAGGACTCCATATTGGTATGTGTGGGATCCTCGCTTTGCCCCAGAGGCAAATTTTGGCAGTGTGAAACTTTGACGCTCTGAACTTTTAACCTCTTCTCTGTTGCTCGATCTGCAGGAACTAACACCCTCCGAGGTCAAGGGCTTGCTGGGGAAAAACTTGCGGGATCTGAAGGCCCAGGAGGACAAACCCCCTGTCAAAGACTGGAGGCTCAGACAGAAGCAATCGGAACTGAAACGGCTGGGCTTTGGAGTCCGTGGTGGGAGGCCGGAAGGATACATGAATATCAAACCCCGAAATAACAGTAAGAAAACCATGGGGTTAGGGGTTTTTTTTTTGGGGGGGGGCAAACTAAATGCTCTCCAAGATTAGAAACAAAATCTAGGAACTGTTATAAGCATTCTCTTTTTAGGCTATTTATTTATCCACTGTAGATATAATCCGGAAGGTTCAGGGCAGTGATTTATCCTCCTGTTTTGTCCTAACTACGGGACCCAAAAGCAGTTTTGCGTTGTTCTTCTGTCTCCCGTTTTGTCCTCGAAGCCAAGGGCTCTTTTTGTAGCAGGAACTCCCATCGCTCCCTCTAAGGTGTGGAGTCTTGTGAGCAGAAATCCTCCTTTGTGAGCTCCTGGCATTCAAGTTGCAAGTGAGCGATTTGGCTCCTGCATCACTTAGTTTGCTCTGGAGTCATCACAGACAAGCAATTTGGCATAAATTAGAAGAAGAAGAAGAAGAGAAGAAGAAGAGATTGGATTTATACCCCGCCCTTTACTCGAAGTCTCAGAGCAGTTTACAAACTCCTTTCCCTTCCCCTCCCCACAATAGACACCTTGTGAGGTAGGTGGGGCTGAGAGAGCTCTGACAGAGACTGCTCTGAAAGAACTTGTAACTGACCCAAGGTCACACCAGCAGCTACAGGTGGAGGAACAGAGAATCAAACCCAGTTCTCCCAGATTAGAGCCTGTGCACTAGTCTGAGCATCAGTTCGCTCTGAAGCCATCACAGACAAAAATCTGTGAGCCAGAGGCTAAAAAACTGTGAGCTACCTCACATTGACTCAGCTTAGAGGGAACACTGCACAACAACCCTGTGAGGTAGGTTAGGCCAAGAGAGCCAGTTTGGCGTAGCGGTTAGGAGCACGGGATCTAATCTGTGAGAAACGGGTTTGATTCCCCACTCCTCCACATGCAGCTACTGGAGTGACCTTCGGTCAGTCACAAGTTCTCTTGGAGCTGTTCTCTCAGGAGAAGTCCTCAAAAGAGCTCTCTCTGCCCCGCCTACCTCACAGGATATCTATTGTGGGGAGGGGAAGGAGGCTGTAAGCCGCTCTGAGACTCCTTCGCATAGAGAAGGGCAAGGTATAAATCCAGTCTCTTCTTCTTCAAGAGTGGGTGGCTGGGCTCAAAGTCATTCGGGAACAGGCCCGTAGCTACCATAGGGCATCTCGGGGCCTGGCCCCCTGACTTACGGCCAAGGCCCCCCTGACTTCCCATCCAGCCCAGGCCCCCAACTTCCAATTTTTTATTTTATTTGTGGCACTCCCTTGGGGGGGGGGGTCTGCGTGGGGTACCCCCCAACTTATTTAAAGGCCCCCTAAATCCTGGCTACAGGCCTGTTCAGGAAGCTTCCGTGATAGATTGGGGGGATTTGAACACGGGTCGCCCAGATCCGAGTCTGAGGCTCCAGCTACTACCCCATGCTGGAGGGAAAAGGAAAAAATATCCTTGCCTCTCAGGAGCAGTGGAGGAGGAGGATTCTGGGCAGGACAGTTTGTCAGCTGTGGTCAGTGGATACTGACAGAAGCCACCAGGTCTGAAATGAGGGACGTGGGCCGGCCGTGGTTGCCTTTTGCACAGGACGCTGGCCCTTCTTTGGCCGCAGCTCCATTTTGGGGAGGGCGAGGCTGCAAATGCCCTTCCATTCTCTTGGGCCGGACAGCTATTTAGATTTCAGGTTTCCTTAACTGGGCAGGTTGCGCGAACGGTGTTTCTGCAGGGGTATGGATGCCGCGTGTCAGAGCGCAGAGATGATAACATAGGCAGTTTTCATTTTCTGTTCATTTATTTTACAGATTAGCAGGCTAGGAGCTCTCCCGCCCCGACGGGCACCGCCTGTCCCCAATGGGTAGAAACGTAGATCAGCGGTACCCTGATCGTGGCTGACCCACGGGCGCTCCTTCTCTCTCCGCCAGGACCTCCAGAGACATCCGGGGCTACCAGCGGCCTCACCCTGCATCTCTTCCCCTCGCTTCTCCTCTCTTTCTGACCGCCTTCCTTTCCTGAAATTTCGCCCAGCTTTAGAAAAACAGAGCGGATGCAGGAGAAACCAATCTCGAACATTCGGCCGCCTTTTGACCGAAACTCTCAGATCTGCCTGTGATAGGAAAACAGAGAAATGCACGGGGTGGGGACAACAAATGGAATTGGGGGGAAAGGGAAAATAATCCCTCCTACTTTCCATGTAAGGAAAGGGGGAGCACTGGAAACAATTTCTCAACCACTCTTATTGAGTTTCCCTCAAATGTAAGTTTGAAAAATAGGCCTGTTCTAGTGGGGAATGGGAGACCTCTGGCCTCCCGGAAAGTCAAATGCCAGGACGGGAAGGAATGACGCAACTCTAGACTTAAGTGGCTTAGGTCGAACCTGCATTTGCATTTTTAAGTTAGCTTCGTGCTTCTGTGACGCCGTCTTTCTCGATGCTTGTTTGAATGTTGTTTGGAGCAGATTCATTTAAAGCCATGCGGAGGCGCAGTGACAATGGAGCTGCCACAAGAGGGCGATAAACATATGCGGACATGCAAAAGTATACTCGTGCAGTTGAAGTTTGAAAACGAAAGCAAATGTAGATAGTCTTTTTTGAAGACGGAGTCCCACGCCAGTGGGAAAGACAAATGCAGATTCGACCTTAGTCTAGAAATCCCAGGGGGAAGTTACTCTTGAGGACTGGCGTGCTGGTTTCGTAACTTATTTAGCAGGGATCATGGCAGGATTAACCCCTTACATGCACCGACAACCAGGTGTGAGAGCCACACAGAAGAACGAGGAATAAAAGGGGGGAAACTGCCGAAGCTGGTTTAGAAGTGAGACTCGCTTTTCTTTGCCTCTGTTGCTTGGATGTATTGTGCAAAATAAAGGTTTGGTTTTCCTCCCCACTGTGTCTCTCGCGACGTTGATATCCCTGACCCTGACACCAAAATATAAAATCCGCCCAACTCCCTTTCCAGACTCGCTGGTCAGGAACAGAGCTGGAAATCTACTCGTCTGGGACATTTTTATCCTGCCTTTTTTGTTCAGAACCACGTAGATGGTCCTCCAGTTCCTTTCATCCTCACAACAGCCCTATGGGGTAGGTTAGGCAGATAGAGTGACTGGCCGAAGGCCAACAGGAAAATCTACAACAACTAGTCAACAGGATTTTTTATAACCTTTTATTCAAACCAAACAGATGGCCGTTTCCCCAGAAAGCCGCGGCCTCCTGGTGTAGACTCTAAATCGCAGGGGCTTGTGTTTATGTCTGTGCGTTCATATTCCATATGCACACACGCTTACCAGTCGTAGGGAATTCGGACTGCTGCCAGCTCTTGGTGGGCTTCGAATTACCCCTGTCCCTCCAACCTTCTAAGCCAAAAGCCCCCTTGGGGTTCCAGACTGAAGGCACATCCCACGCACCCTCACTGGGGCCTGCAACGTTGCTGCAGAAATCTATTTCGCCTGAGGTCTCCCCCTCCCGCCCGGGGAAAATTTCTCGTGCTCTGATCTGCGAGTCTGGAATGCAGTGGCTAAGAAGGACGCTCTGATCTCACCCGATGCAAAATCTGAGCCTTTGTCATTTGCAAATTAGGGCAATTCTGCATCTAGCATTCGCTCCACATTTTCTCAACTAGGAGGGAAAAGTGCAGCTCAAAGCCACATTCAGATACCCCGGGCCAACGCCGTACTGACTGCAAAGTCACCCCTGAAAGGCCATAAAACGGCCATAAATCTATGCAGAGGGTACCATAAAACCCGATGGTCAATGGCAGCGAACGCGGCATGCAATGCAGAGAGGAATTTCTGTTCCGATGTGGGTTTGGCTAAAACGACGAAGGGAAAAGCCAATGCAGAGTTAGCCTTAGATACTGAAGGCAGAGCTTCCACCTCGGGGGGGGGGGAGCCATCTTCCCCCACCCACACTGATTTTGCTTGGGGGAATGCTGCTCTCCCCCCGCCCACTCTCCTGAAACATCTGCTCTGCTTGTGGGAACCTCCGCTCACGCAGACGTGATGCATCTCAGGTCGCCCTCTCTGTCCACATTTCCGTCGCACTTTCCCACTGAACGTGTGGGAGGATTCAAGCACATCCGAGGAGACGCCGGGCGATCACTCCCACACAGGTGTGGTCGGAGGCTCAGAGCAGGAGCTTCGGCCTGGACCACTCCTCGCTCTGGCTCAGCAGTCGGCGACGAACCAACCGTGTGCCAGCACAGCTGTCCAGGGCGAGACCAGTTCTCCCCAGAGGGCTAGGCATGGACCGATGCAAAGGCAGGTTCAGGCAGGAGGCAGCAGAAACGAACCAGGCCACAGCCAGGGAACCAGCCCATAGGGTGGACTTGGAGGTCACCTAAGTCTCTGAGGAAGCTCGTGCTGGGTGGATGAACTAGGGTTTCCAGCTCTGAGTCGGGCAATTTCTGTAGATTTGGGAAGGGCATAGTTTGGGAGGGGAGAAGGCCTCGACAGGGACGTCATGCCAGAGAGTCCACCCAAAAGCTGCCATTTCCTCCAGGGGAGCTGATCTCTGTCGCTTGGAGAGCTGTTGTGATTCCCGGAGAACTCCGGGCCACACCTGGAGACCGGAACCCCCTTGGGTGATCTTTTGTTCACCAAGACCCAACAGCTTGGCTGTCCAGAAGTATTTTCCCACCCGGTCCCTTCGTCCCGGGGACTGATCCAGAAACGCTGATGCCGCAAGCCCAGCGACCCGCGCAGGATCCATCTGGTTTTCCAGACTTCTGGCTCACTGGCTCACTGGGGGAAAACTCAGGGAATGGCAGAGGGGAGGCGGAGAAGAAACACAGCTTCACGTTCGACGGAGGAGCGCCGCAAAACGTTGGCGGCCAGGTGCCCGGAGACGGAGACGGCCTGTGGTCTGGATGAGGCTGGGGGTTGACCAGGTGTCCCTTGAAGAATCCCGAAGTTCTCGCGCTGGTTGTTGCCGATAACCGCAGGGGAGGGGAGAGGGAGAGGCCATCTAGCCGAGGAGCGCCAGCGATGGGTGGTCTCAGAAAAGCCCCCTGAGAACCGAGAGTCCAACGACAATGGACGGCGTCAGGAGAAGGCAGCTGAGAGACGGGGAGGAAGCTGAGGCTGGGGGGAGAAGACGAGAAGCGATAAGAGCCATGTCATTCAGGGTGCTTCAGGTGGAAGCCTGGCCCATAGATACAGTGGGGCCTGCCCCCTGCCTTAAAGCCCCCCCTTCTTCTCAAATGCATTTAAAGGGATCCTTTAAATGCTTTTGAGAAGAAGCGGGGGTGGCGTGCGCCCTTCCTTCCCTCCCGCAAGATTTAAAGGGCCTTCCGGCTGATCGGCAGGCCACCTGCTCCCCACCGATCATCTGAATCTTGCGGGAGGGGAAGGAGAGGGGAGTGCACCACCCTCCTTCATTATGGCAAATAACGGCAGCCCCAACAGAGAACATTTTTGCCCCACAAGCCACAAAGTCCCGGCTACGGGCTTGGTGGAAGCCCCCCTGAGAACCCCCATGCTAACCTCACTCAAAGGGCAGGGATAGTGGGCAGAATCGGCCTGCACTGCAAGGTGCTTGAGACCCCATTTTTCCACATAGGCAGCAGGAGCTCCTTTGCATATTAGGCCACACACCCCTAGTGTAGCCAATCCTCCAAGAGCTTACAGAGCTCTTCTTACTGGAGCTACTGTAAGCTCTTGGAGGACTGGCTACACTAGGGGTGTGTGGCCTAATATGCAAAGGAGCTCCTGCTACCGGTAGAGCCCTGCGAGGCATGAACGGCACTCCTCGACGCAGAGTGGAATAAAATAAACACCCTCTGGAATGGGGTACCTCTAAACTTGCCCTCGGCAAGCCCAGTTTCTGGGCTAAGGTGCTGGTCTTACCCGTAGAACTCAGAGTCAACCCATATGGTAGCATCGCCCCACAGAATTCAGCAATTTTCCAATACGAAAGCCCCGTGTGAAATGAATTGTACATTAAGATTGAAATAAACATGTAACTTATATAAACAGTATTTGTATTGTGTCAGCTGCTGTAAAGGTAACAACAATACATTCACAAGCTTAAATAATGTGAACAAAACAAAACTCGTACACAATATTTCAAGAGTTTCAATACTTCAAGGCTTTGTCAGGATCACAACACAAAGCTTGCAAGACTATGGGGAGAATTCAGCGGCAGCCATGGCTAAGTCGATCCAATGAGAACTGAGCCAGCCTCTATTGGTGTACCCCGACCCCTCCTCATGTGTAATCCCAACCAAAGTGGGGTTCTTGATGTGTTAATGAGAGCAGGAGCGACTCCTTGGAAAGGCTTTTGATGCATATATCTACAGAGTGCTCAGACACTCCCCAATTACCCACCAGTTCTTCATGACCCTTCCTCCCCATAGAAGGCCGGAAAGGGGGCAATTGCTAGAGCAGCTGTGACAGATAGTACAGAAAAGCAGGCTTTTTGAAATGCTGCTTGTATCAGAGAGTCAGGGAGTTCAAGAGTTAATCTTCCCTGGAGAGAAGAGCTCATGTGATTGGCTGCTCTGTTCGCTGTCCGATTGGCCAGCATCAGCTGAGAGAGGAAATAAAACAGCTGACCTGGAGAGAAAAAGAGGTATTTTGCAATTTGGTCATACTAACATCTGGATCAGAAGCCAGAGACATCTGGGAGTCAGAGTTTTCTGACAGGCAATAGTCAGAAAAGAACTTCTACAGAAAGAAGAAGAAGAGAAACCCCATTGTCTAAACAGATTAAATCTGCTCTGAGGGAGAACCTTAAATTCTCAGTCAGAAAAGCTACAGAACAGCCTTATACAGACAAAGGATACTGGAGAAGGATTTGGCAGGAGGACTGGGTACTTAGAGAGAACTCCCAGGCAAGCCAAATAGTAAAGGGGGTTGTTGCTTCTTAGGGACAAGGAGAATAACTGAACCTGGGAACTTCTACATGCAAAGCATGTTGGAAGTGAAGGACTTTGTGCTGTCCCTTAGCCTCAGACTTCAGAGGCGGACTATAAGAGAGAGAGGACCCTGATCATCCTTCCTTTTCTACAGCTCTTACCCCTTTGATGTGTAGATTGCTACTCTCAGGGAATCTTCCTTCCGGTCTTGACACCTTCTCTCCACACTGTGCTACTCTTCTCCATCTTGACACCATGAGGGCAGGACATCCTTCCTGCACCTCTATCCGTCCTAGCTAGTTAGACTAGATTAGAACCCTGTCTCTTCTGTATCCTGTCTATAGGGTTGCCAGCCTCCAGGTGGGACCTGAGGATCTCCCGCTTTTACCACTGATCCCCAGCCGACAGAGATCAGCTCCCCTGGAGAAAATGGCTGCTTTGAAGGGTGGACTCCATGGCATTGTACTATGCGGAGGCCCCTCCCCTCCCCGAACCACACCCTCTCCTGGCTCCACCCCCAAAGTCTCCAGGTATTTTCCAACCCAGACTTGGCAACCCTACCGGTCTAGAATGGAGTTCCTGACAATAAAGGATTCATATTAGTTTGCAAAGATAAAGAGGCTCCATGTGTAACTTTGTTTCGGGTCAGCACGCACCCGACAGATAGTCTCTGCTGCGTTACGTGCCTCGAGCCCTCTGCTACCCCAAATAATCCCGCAAAAACACATGACCTGCCACCAACCCACAGTCCCTCCTGAACTGGTAGAAAGTTTCCAGATGCTGCGGCCGCAGTGACTCACCACTTAGAGGTCTCACGTTGATGTAGCCATTTGGTGTCGGATGCGAGGGCTGTTTTGTTTTCGGTGGTGCTCTGCTGGTGGTTCCCCTCTCAGGTGTCCCAACGATTGTGGTGTGAGGTTGGTCTGGGCTGGGGGAGGCAGGTGTTTTGTGGGGAGTTTCAAAGCTACGGACGGTAGTCCTACTGGAGGCAGCTGGTATCTTGCCACTTGTTACTGGGGGTGTGCTGAGGGACACCGGGACAGTGGCGTTCGGCAGAGGGACGGGTGGCGCTGGTGGCCATTCAGAAGATGTGGTCGCAGTCAAGTTGGGTGCGGTGGACGTGTGGTTGATATTGAGAGCTGGTGTGTGGGAAAGGGTCGCATTGGGGGTGCTAGTGACATTAACGATCCTGGCAATGGTAGGAAGAATTGCCCGAGCAGTTGTGACGTCGGTGGAGGGCACCGTGGTGTTGACAGAGGTAGTTGCATTGATGCGCGGGGCAACAGTTGGCTGAATGGGCCCATTGGTTGTGACGTTGGTCGAAGCCATTGTGGTGTTGACAGAGGTAGTTGTGTTGATGTGCGAAGCAATGGTTGGAAGACTAGTCCCATCCGTTGTGATGTTGGTGGAGACTGTTGTGGTGTCGACAAATGTAATTGTGTCGATGTGTGAGGCAGCGGTTGACTGAAGAGTCCCATCGGTTGTGATGTTGGTGGAGGCCACTGTGGTGTTGACCAATGTCGTTGCATTGATCTGTGAGGCAGCGGTCGGCTGAATAGCCCCATCGATTGTGACATTGGTAGGGACCGTTGTGGTGTCAACAGAGGTAGTTGCATTGATGTGCGAGGCAATGGTCGGAAGACTAGTCCCATCAGTTGTGACGTTGGTGAAGACTGTTGCGGGGTCGACAGAGGTTGATGTGTTGATGTGTGTGGCCACGGAGGGAAAAATAATCCCATCAATTGTGACATTTGTGAAGACCACTGTGGTGTCGACAGAGGTAGTTGCGTTGATGTGTGAGGCAGCGGTCGGAAGACTAGTCCCATCAGTTGTGACGTTGGTGAAGACCGTTGCGGGGTCGACAGAGGTTGATGTGTTGATGTGTGTGGCCACGGAGGGAAAAATAATCCCATTGGTTGTGACATTGGTGGAGACTGTTAAGGGGTCAACGGAGGTAGTTGTGTCGACACCTCCGCCGACTTCAAGCATTGTGCCATTGGTTGAGATGTCACGAGACGCCGATGTGGCACCGGTGGCTGTTGTACTGGCGTTCACAGCAGTGGTGGGAACCAAAGACCCATCAACAGGATCCCCTGAAGTTGCTGTGACATTGGCAGTCATTACCGGGTCGGTGGGGACGGCAGCTTCGGAATGCATACCGGTGGAAGTTGTGTTGGTGGCCTCGGCAGAGGCAGATGTTTCATCGACGGCCAGAGTGACTTTGAAGAGGGGAGTTGTAAAGGAGTCGGTGGCAACTGGCGGGAATGTGCTTGTGTCGGAGAACGTGGCGGTGTTTGCGTCAGAGATAGCCGCAGTGCTCACGGCAGACACGGTGGCGGCCGCAGTGGGGATGGTTGGGGGGGTGGCTATTGACGGTCCATCAGCAGTGGTACCCCCCACTTCTGTGCGGCTGGTTGGGGAGGGGCCCGTCATCCCTCCTTGGAGACCGATCCCCAGGGTGTCCAGCTCGGACTGAAGGTGGCTCTTGATCCACATGGCTACCGAAGGGTGGTTTTCAACATCTTTCAGGTCGAGCAGGTGGACCGCGAGCAAACCTCTCACGTCCTGCACGCTCAGTTTCTGCGTAAACCGAAAAAGGATCACAATTACAAGGAAATATGTCAAAGAAACGCTGTGATAAAAACGGCAATGACATTTAATAAATCTTATGAACATCAGATTATATTACAAATTGAACTTCTACGATATTACTAAGGGAATTCTAACATTCTCAAGGATTTCCTTAGTAATATTGTATGAGTTCCATTTGTAATACAAGTTCAATTTGTAATACAGTCTGATGTTCATAAGGTTTAATTCAGGGCTCTTTTTGTAGAAAAAGCCCAGCAGGAACTCATTAGCATAATAGACCACACCCAACAGCAAAACTTATTAGCATATTAGGCCACACCCTGACAGCACCACTTATTAGCACGTTAGGCCACACCCCCATGTTACCAGAAAAGTGTGGTCATCCAGCCACACCCACCTTTTGCTTCTTATTCTGTTTACCTTATTTGTTGTCAAAACCCAGGGCCTTTTTTTTGTAGCAGGAACTCCTTTGCATGTTAGGCCACACACCCCTAATGCAGCCAATCCTAATGAGTTTCTGCTGTTGGGTGTGGCCTATTATGCTAATGGATTCCTGCTGGGCGTGGCCAACTCAGGAGCCAGCCGGAACTCCATTCCTGGGAGTTCCTGCCCCAAAATAGCCCTGAGATTTATTAAATGTTATTGTCATTTTTATCACAGTGTTTCTTTGATATATTCACTTAGTTTCTGCGACAGAGTTTTTGAAAAAGAAATTAATTCCAGAAAAGCCTATAGAACATGTTGGCCTTTAGACCAAAATTTGAAAGGTTCGAATACAAGGGAACAAAACGAACACATTTAAGCATACATTTAACAATACTGTAAATGTAACAGGCTTGCTGCTTAATTATCCCAAACGCTGAATTGACAGCGATGGTTCGAATGTTAAGAGCAGCCGTATACAGCAACGGAGTTTAGTTGGGGGGCTGGCGTTTCAACTGCGATATCCCCCGGAAAAACCTCTGTGCTTCCGTCTAATTGTGCCTCCCTTAAAAAGGAGTGAAAACCACTGCTCCCATCTAGACTCACATCCGATTTATACCACTTTACCCATTCTAGATCTTCATCCCACACCAAGGAACCCGGGAATTGTTGTTTGGAGTCATGCTGAGAATCCTGTGAGGGTTTTCTGAGCCCAGAGTTATGGCTTGGAGGTGGGAGACATCTGCCCCACATTCGTTTCTCATCCAAACCTGAAGCTGCAGCATTTGACAAGAACATTTGCCTCACCAGGATAGCAGGCCGATGGACTAAAAAATACAGTGGAACAGTCTGCTTCAGGAGGTGGTGGGTGCTCCTTCACTGGACGTTTTCAAGCAGAGGCTGGGCGACCATCATTCGGGTGTGTTGTAGGGCTATCTTTCGGCTATTTTCCTGCAGAGTGCAGGGGGTTGGGCTAGATGACCTGCACGGTCTCTTCCAACTCTAAAATTCTATGATTCTATGATTCTATACCGTTTGCCAGCTTGAGGCAAAAGGGCAGAGGAGTCGGACGTCAGTCAGGAGTCCTCCAAAGCAGACACAGACTTTGATGCAGACCTCGGGTCAAAGACTTTGGTCCTTTCTGCCCTAGAACTTAAATCCGGGTTCATTCCTATCCCTGAATTTACATTGCACACTACACGTGAGTGTCGTAATTATCTCGTGGTATTTTTACATTCTATTGCTACACTCAAGTCCACCCCTGTAATTCTCTTGGGGTATTTTTTTGTTTTGTTTCCACATTACACTGAGTTTCGTCCCACACTTGTCCCAGGATAAACGGATGCTGTTATAACCAGGGATACCCCTTCGGCCACCCTTATTTTCTAATCAATCTAGAACTGTTCAGCATTCCCTTAATAATGCTAATACTGAGACCGCAATTATGATTGCAAAATCCTTAGCAGAATCAGTTGCACTTAGATGCAGATTTTTTTTTAACATAATATATACACTTTTATTGTCTAAATTTATCTGCGGGAACGAAATGTACCATTTCTATATTACTATGTCATTAAAGGTGTCTGAATCTGATAACCAGGGGTAAATGCAAGTTATTGTGTCACGAGTTGAACTCTGATAAAACCAGGGATGAGATCCAAGTGTGGAAAGGAGCTTTGTCCACCGCTCCCTGAGTCCCTGCTCAGATAACTGCTCCCCCAAGGTTCCCTGGGATGCGGGAATTTCCGCAGCACCAGTTTGAGCCTCTGGTCCATTCGCCAGAGCCTAGCAGACCCTTTTCATTTTTGATAGGACGCTTCCTAGCTAACACGTCTAACCAGAGGGAGGTGTGTAGATGAACCAGAGCTGTGCCACAGGATGCGTTCGTCAACCGAGTGCCTGGTTCTTCAAGATAAAAGGTAAATGCAAAGGTTTCCCTTGCTCGAAAGCCAGTCGAGTCCGACTCTAGGGTTGCGGTGCTCATCTCCGTTTCAGAGCCGAAGAGCCGGCGCTGTCCAAAGATGTCTCCACGGTCATGTGGCCGGCATGACTAAACACCAAGGCGCACGGGACGCTGTTACCTTCCCACTGAAGTGTTACCTATTTATCTACTTGCAATTTCTTGCTTTCGAGCGGCGAGGTTGGCAGGAGCTGGAACTAGAGATGGGAGCTCACTCTGTCATGCGGCACACTCGGGTCTCGAACGGCCGAACAACCGACCTTCCACAGCCTGCAGTTCAGCGTCTTAACCACTTGAGCCACTGCAGCTCCTTTAACTGACCTTTAATTCCTCGGGCTTCAAGTTCGTGAAGGTATCGATGTCCATCGCCACCTGAGATCTAGCCAGCTTTCTCAGATCTGCCACGGGTGCTCCACCTTAAGAAGGGAGAGGAAGAAGAAGAGAAATGCCCGTGAGGAAAAGTGCCAAAAGGGTTGGAACAGTAGCGGAGTTCCGCCGGAAGCAACCCTCGCTACTTTCAGTTCAAATGTGCCCTTTTTTGACTAGGAAAATGTGAGTGTGAAAGCACCGTTCTCACCAGGGTTGGAATGGAAGGTGTGGGAGGGGAAAGGAATGGGGAGGGCTGTGGCTCAGTGGCAGAGCCTCTGCTTGGCATGCAGAAGGTCCCAGGTTCAATTCCCACCAGCATCTCCAGTTTAAAGGGAGCAGAGAGGAGGTGATGTGAAAGACAAGAAGAAGAAGAAAGACGAGGAGGAGGAGGAAGAGATTGGATTTATACGCTGCCCTCCACTACTCGAAGGAGTCTCAGAGTGGCTGATAATCTCCTTTCCCTTCCCCTCCCCACAACAGACACCCTATGAGGTAGGTGAGGCTGAGAGAGCTCTGACAGAAACGGCTCTTTTTCAAGAACGATGGCTTGCCCAAGGTCATCCAGCAGCTGCAAGTGGAGGAGTGGGGAATCAAACCCGGTGCTCCCAGATTAGAGTCCACATTCCTAACCACGACACCAAACTGTGCTTATTCTGTGTCCTTTCAAAACGTGAAGAGAGACTATTCCCAGCCTGGGAATGAAGATTATAGGGAGAGGTCCTCATGACTGTTCCACCAATCAAAGAAGCTTGTATGGTGGGCACACGCGACACGGTCTTTTCGGTGGCAGCCATGAAACAACTTCCCCAAGCAAGTGGGCCCGCCCCCCCCTCACCTTCCGTCTTTAGGAGGCAGCTGAAGACGGTTTTGTTTAGGACAGCATTCGATTCAAGCAGTCCTAAACTGTGATTTTAAAACTTTGGTTTCACATATTTTTGTAGACTTTTTTTTTTGTCTGAGTAGACAGTTCTGACCTTGATGGACCAAGGGTCTGATTCAGTAGAAGGCAGATTTGCGTGTCTGTAACCAGCTACCCACCTAGGTAGGGCTGGATTAAGGGATAATAAGCAGAAGTCTCCTCCTGGCCGGCAAAGGCCACTCGGGCTTTTTCGTACAGGATGTCTTTTTTGTCCTGGGAGCAGGAGGAAATATCTAATTTCTCCGCTTGCCTAAAGGAAGCAAAACACAGAAGGTCAGAATCACTGGAGGACACCGAGCCATCTGAATGGACTCAGAAGGCGATGCAATTCCTGGCTCAATACGATCAATATCATTAGTAGTATAAGTATTTTATTATTTAATATCTTACATATACTTTGTTCAAAATGTAGGTTTAGCTTATCATTATACATTTTTGAGGTATCTTAAAATGCACTGCTTGCCTTTTTTGACTATAGTTGGATTATAGCAGTTACAGTATATCAGATGCGTCAATTTTTTAAAATTATTGAGTTAGGGTGAGCCAGCTCACAGTTTTTTAGCCTCCGGCTCACACGTTTTTTCCTTAGCTCGGGAAGACGGGCTCCAGAGCAAACTAATTTATGCAGTAGACAAATCACTCGCTCACAACTTTAATGCCCAGTAGCTCACGAAGTAGATTTTTTGCTCACAAGACTCCACAGCTTAGAGGGAACATTGGTTATGATACTTCCAAATATTTGATATTTGGTAGTGAATGTTAAATGATTTCTTGATTTCAAGCCAATTAGCTTATATAGTTTGTCAGACATTTATTGGTGTGATGGCAAGCTTCATCAAGATTGAGAGAGAAAATAATTCTGAATATTATGGAGATGCTATATATTTGAATTACGTATCTTAAATGTGATATATTTATCGTATGCTGGCTAGTCCTTGTAATATGCATTCTAAATTCTTTTTCTAAAACTTTTGGGGCCTTTCCCTCCCCCC